CCTTATCAGCTTACGTCAGCGTGGGTACTACCAGTTTGGAATGTAGCGTCTTGGAGTGTGGTCAGGTGTATAGTACATTGTGTTGCTTGTTAGTTGGTCTCCATAGGCAATGTTTTCTGCTTGGGGAGTAGCTCTGAATGTCACAACAGCAAGCGTACAGTTTTGCGTGCTTCACAACAGCGTTTACCTTTCTGCCCGACTAAAGTTACGAGGCACTAACTACACACGCCATGCTTTTAAAGTTTAAGATATAGTGATATCACAGTCCACTATGCAGAGTCCTCTTTGGTGAAGTTGGTGATTAAGTTAAAATTAATTTTCAAGCATGTGTTTCAGATCCAGTTATACTGTTGTACCTATCTCCATGAACAGAGTATGGCTCACTGCAAATATACCTGTATAGTATAGTGTTGTTAGACTCAGTCTCCAACAGAGAGAATGGAGGTAGAACTACTTAGAACATCTGGAAAATGTACAGAGTATTATTAAATTTCATGTTGTACTTTCATTTACAAGAGTCTTTGAATACTTCCTATATTATAGATCTGTTATAATTCATGAGCACTTCCTCTTCCTGATCCTCTGATAGAAGTACAAGAAAAATTTAATGTCTCAAAGAAAAATACTGTTATGTGTGTGGGTGTGACTTGACAGGGTTTTGGATAATTGGATTTATTGACCACTGTATTGACTATAAGAGGCAAACTGTGGTGGTGCAGTCAATATAGGAACTGGCTACAGGTTGGATGTTCAGGGATTGATTATAAGAGGGACAGCCAGGGTAGGTCAATCAGTACAGACTGTCTGTGTAGTCTATGATTTAGTTTACAGTCAGACCAATATCTCAGGCAACCCGTATGGTGTCAATTGGTAGGATGCAACCTATATTCCCTACAGAATGGACAAAGTACATTGTAAGATGACGCACCGGCTAAACAGTTAATGTCAAAACTATACTGCACCTATACCACGGGCCTCCAAGCAGTTTATTACATGTATACAAGTCTAGAATGTACTGTTATGTCTGCAGGAATATAACAAAATTGCAACAACTAACTTGATGATATAGAATATCACCTGAAGAGTTTTTAACCCTATTTTATGCCATAACTTTCATTTTTATAATAAGTTTATAGTTCATTGTATTTTATAATGTAATAATTATCAAGTATCCAGCTTCACTATCACAATTGCAGTTCAGTAGTGTGTGAATATGGTAATCATGTGTTTTCCTGATGGCTTTAATAGCCGAAACATGTAGCTAAGCTAATTTTAGCCTTGACCATTGTATTGTGTTATGACAGACTCTAATAAAGAATTGTATATAACACAACAGGTTGCACGAAATGAAAATTAACTGGTAGGATGTTTGGTGAATAATTAATGTAAAAGCAGTCAAGGTCTGTTTGGGGAAATATCCCAAAATTTGCCTTAAGGGACTAAGGAATACCACAAAAATTTAAGTCAGGATAGCTGATATCCCAGCCTAAATTAATACTGTGCATCTCCCAAATAAATGTCTTGAGCATTACTGCTACATTACTCTGCTCAGTGTGACTGTGGCATATTCAGTTTCATTATACGAAGCATCCGGGATGTCTGGGGTTTGATTACAAGAAGTGAGCCTGGTAGGTCTGCCAGGGTATAGCTCAGTAAGTGTACTATTTAGCTATAGGCAGGTTGTTTGTAGTGCAATAACAGAGGTGATCTGGCATACTTTTTTTTTATTGCTAGTGGGGTGGGACTAAGTCCCTTGTACTGTGGCCACTTCTGGCCTATTGTACCAGCCCCAGGTGATAGGTGAGGGTGATTGTGGAGCAATTGGTGGAATGAAGATAGGCAGGGGAAACCGAAGTACTCGGAGAAAACCTGCCCCAGCGCCACTTTGTCCAACACAAATCCCACTTGACCAGATCCGGGGTCGAACCCGGGCCGCCGCGGTGGGAAGCCAGTGACTAGCCGCTTGAGCTATGGCACGGCCCTTCTGGCATACTTAAGTCAGTAATATATGACTGACAGGACATACAAGGTTCAATTACAAGAAATAAGCTTGGGTAGCTCAGTTAGTATAGCTACTTGCTGGACATTGGCGTTAGATTATACAAGATGAGCTCACTCAGCAAAGAAACTTTTATTTAGCTATTTGTTGCTGTAAAATGAAAAATAATGTTACCCCTGTACCTAAATAAGCACTATGCCATGAAGTATGGAGTAGTAGTCTGGTTCATGCATCTGCTGCTTTAACCACAGAGAAATATCCGTCAATACTAATTGTATTGGGGTCTCCTTGTGTCACATTTTTGGTGTGCCTACAAAATGAGTTGGATGAGGAAAAAAATAGAGTTTGTGCGTTATCAGATACCTCTGTACCATGAAAGAAATATGCGTCATAACCGGTAACGAATGAATCCAACTGATTATTTTAAATGGCAAATAATTAACAACCTTAGGGGCTGTTTCCTCGAGTGAGCAAAGTTGATCCGCACAATCTTGCAGTGGACGAACTAAACAATACCCACACCCCCAGCATCTGTCCTACATGCTGAGAGAGTATACTACACGTTCTAAGAACATTACACTGGAGCTGGCACGCAAATAACAAAGTATGAATAAGCTACGAAGAAGACGTACCTTCGATGCCTTCGATTCACCAAGTTCAATGCCTTCCATGTTCACCACACTGTTGGTGTCTCTGTCCTCTCCAACATCGAAGATCACAGATTCCACGAATTTATTCTTTAGCCCGTTTACACGCCATACTTGATGGACGCAGTTCCTCATTAGATTGAAATTCCTTCATCAGCTGATTTAATATGCTTCGAGAGAAGCTTACACTTTTTATCACTGGTCACGTTGACTAAAATTCTGTGGAATGTTGGTGTCTCATTTTGTACGTATAACCGGTGGACTGTTGGACGAACTGCACATTTTGTGGAATTGTCACATTATTTATTGTCTGGTGCACTTCCTTCGGAGTCATCAGTTTTTCACCTGATTTCGCATTTAAGCGTAGTCTATAAATAGTTGCTTTCAAAGGCAGCTTTGCTACGTCTTTTACATTACTTTCAGGGTCCGCAGAACTCAAGTTTCACACGTTAGAAGACTACTTGACATGGGTTTTTTCTCAAATACCCTTCCGCTATAGCTTAACGTTCCACTTATTTTACTATTACGTGCACTTATCACTACTCTATAAATACGACTCCTTACACAAAAAGTAAGAGTACAACTACATGTTCACACCGTAACACAACACGTGCTCGTCGAAACGATTCAGAGCAATATATGCGGAATGGCCAATACCGCAGTCAGAGCGGTCAGAGCAGAGCGAAACGTTGCCGTTCCAAGATGGAGCCGTACCCCCTAACACATCAAAATATCGGAAGAAAAGTACGCCCCAAAATGAATATTATTATGCTTATGACTAACAGTGACAGTTAACAGTTATATTCAGTCCCGTATATCACCATACGGACCTACGTAACGCCACATTCCTTACTAAAACAAAATTATAACGTTACTGAAACCCGGCAAGGATCCAAAATTCCCACAAAATTTACGTTCGATTAGCCTCTTGTCCACAACAGGCAAACTATTTTAGATAGTTATTCTGAAAATAGTTCAATGCGGTCCAAAGGCACATTGAGAAATGTGGTCTGCCTACTGTGTGCAAGTTCGGTTTCTGTGCCTCTCACACCAAAACACTTCAATGTATGAGGCTTATGAGATCATTCTGAGTTTTGGTAAATGGTGAAATGTCTACCTACACACACACACACACACTCATTATGCAGGCATAAATTGTGTAGTGATGTTCTACCAATCACATCTATGTACAACAGCTGATGTTTGGAGTCTGATGATAAAGAAAAACCACAATACTAGTCGTATGAATGTACAAAATAACTTCACAGTGGTCACAAGTGAAGATTCACTTGTCCTATTAGAAATAACAAACTGAATTGATAAAAATTAATTCAGGGTATGAAGAAGAATACATCAGCAGGACTTGATGACATCTCGCCATATCTGCTAAAAAAAATGCACACCTTACATAATAAAGCCACTCTTAGAATTGGTCAATGCATCAATCAGAGAAGGCATCTTCCCTTCTAAACTAAAAATCAGTAGTCAAACCAATCTACAAAAATGGGATAAAAGAAGATGTAAATAACTATCGTCCAATTACTCTTGTACCTGCCATTTCAAAAGTTCTGGAAACAGTAATAGCTAACGAATTAATAGCATTTTTAGAAAAACACAATATACTTAATAAATCTCAGTTTGGATTTAGGAAAAATAAATCAACTAACAATGCAATTGCCACAATTATTGAAAACATAATAGAAAGTTTGAATGATAAAATAAAATGCAACTGTGTACTATTAGACTTATCAAAAGCTTTTGACTGTATTCAACATAACATTCTCATGGATAAATTATACAAATATGGAGTTCGTGGTATACCTCATAAGCTAATCAAATCCTATCTCAAACAGAACTCAACATGTAAAAGTAACACACACAGAAGGCAATTGTATGAAAGAATATTTGTCAAGTAGCCTCCCAGTGAGATATGGAGTTCCCCAGGGATCAGTCCTTGGTCCATTACTCTTCATTTTGTATATAAACGATATCCCACATGTAACACAAGGCAGATCAATACTGTATGCTGATGACACATCAATACTGAATGTAGGACAAGATATGAATGAGCTCCAAAACATGACTTCAAGTAATATAGGCGTGGTAGACAAATAATTTATTATGTTATATTTTAGCGTCCTGTTGCACTGATTTTCCTCCATTATTTGTATACAGTGGCCGTCTTGTAATGCACTCAATTTCACCTGAAATTCTAGAAATTTCTAGAAAAACGACCCCGTAGTGAACGAACCACATGCAAGTTTTAATTAAGACAAATAAGATGAATTATCTTAACAAGTTTTAGCGAGTGTAAATTTATCACGATTGATAAATACGGACTTTTTAAATACTTTTTAAATGGTGTTGTGAAAATATATGAGGGCAGGCAATGCAATAGATTGACGTAACTGGGACACCTGATGATGGCACTATGTTGCCGAAACATGTAGTGAAGTGACAGGTGAAACTGAGTGCACTACAAGACGGCCACTGTATACAAATAATGGAAAATAATTTATTTATAAATCCATCTAAAACCTCATTATATTCTCTTCCAGACAAAACAATGCAGGCAGGAAAGTAATCTAAAAATCCTAATAAAGAACAGGGAAATATCAAATGTAAAAAGCACAAATTTCCTGGGGGTAGTAACAGATAGTACCTTGAGCTGGGAATTACATATTGAAAAAACCTGCAGTAGAATTAGCCATAACCTGTTCATAATTAACAGGCTATCTAAAATACTCGATTTAAATGAAAGAAGAATGTTGTATTACGGTTTGATCTATCCTCATCTATCTTATGGAATAATAGTATGGGGACATAGTGCTAAGACCATCACTAGAAGAATTTTTCTACTCCAAAAAAGGACAGTAAGATACATTTCAGGGCTAAAACATCTGGAATCGTGCAGGGATAGCTTTAGAAATCTAAAGATACTAACAGCATACTCTCTATATATACAAGAAACAATCCTATATGTAAAACAAAAGTGTAACTGCACAGTGAATGAACAAATACATACATATAACACAAGAAATAATAAAGACCATCATATATATGGGCACAACTTAGAACTTTATAATAGTAATTCTTCAGTAGCTGGCTGTATCTTTTACAACAAATTGCCTATCAACAAAAAATCAGTTCTCAAAGGAATTGAAGAAGTTACTTATTCAGAGGTGCTATAACTCAACGGAGGACTATCTGGATCTGTCAAAAGCATTTGACTTAGTAGATCATGACATCTTGCTTGGAAAAATGGCAGAAATAGGAATACGAGGGGTTGCACAAAATTGGTTTCAATCATATTTAGAAAACAGGGAACAAACAGTGGAAATTACCTATAGACATAAAGAAACTAATGAAATTACTAATTGT